AACGAGAAAATGGCAGATGGTTCTCGAGTGATGGATGATATTGGACTGGTTAGAGGTTGGCTATCAATTCATTATTTAACTAAGACAAAGATGCGAAACTTGAAAATGACCAAATGATTTTTTGTTTATTTTTTATTTTTAACAACTTGAGCGGTTGGATGGAATATTGTTCTTTTAATTGCTTTTTGAAAGTTAAAATAGCCGAATACCCAAATGTGAAATTAAAACAATAACAAGCAACAAATCACTTATTAATGTCTTTAGATGCTTAAATTTTATTAATTCAATTCAACCCATGTGTCAATCAATCAATCAATTTAAACAATCAAATCAAAAGCAATAAAAAATAAAATAAAGATCACTGTGATTTGATGATGGAGGAAAATCCCTTTCGTATGATCAAAAATCTCCGGGCAAACTTGCAAGTGAACGATTCATTAGAAATGTTAACTTAAAATTAGTACAAATACTGCTAAACCTTAGCCGACTCTATCCGCCTAACTTGTAAATTACCAAGGAACTCATTTGGTTGTACACGTTCGCACTTCCCAGAACTTTGGATCACTTTTTCTCTCTGCTGGATTACCAAGAATGAACCTCGTTCTGCACCGCTGGAAGTCTAAACGCCTCTTCCCAAACTTCATAACTCTAAAGACTTATTGGAGAAGGTAGGATTTTTTGTATTGGGGTTTGATCAAAGATTTTATTTTTCCTTTTTTGTGCTTTGATATGTTGATTGAGGCAAGAGATACTGAAGTACTGAAATAAAGGGGTCAATCAATATTGGAATAATGTTTTGGATGAATATATGAACAATTGACGGTATGGTTGAATCAAGAGATCAATGAAATGTGTTGAATCTTGAATAATGTGATCTCTATAATGAAATAATAACTCAACATACTTTGGGACGTTGTATGGCTTGTATATTTATAATGTGTAGTGTTTGAGATGAAATACGATTGAAAATCAATATTAGAATCGAATTTGAATTGTTCACAAATACATATGCCACTCGAGCTTTACGCCTCGTGCCTAGCAAGCAATCAGTCCACCGCTCAAGCAGCTCGTTCGTATTTTGAGCGCTCATCACACGGCTAGCAACCAATAATTACTCCGTTTCTTGATTTTTTTGAATTTCTTCAAATTCTTTTATGGACTCTACCAACCCCAAACTATTTTAACTATAATTACAATTCAATAGCTCCTATTTTGCATTAATGACAACTCAATAATTCATGATTTTGAATATAAAATTGCCAATTATAAATATAAAAATTCGTAATTACAAATTTGGACATAAGACTTTTCTATGGGAACAACAAAGCATAAAAATTGAATCTTGATCTGGTATCGAAAATGACTTGTCTAACGACAAAGACTAACAATAAGTCCAAATTTAGTCTTGCGTATTCTTGATAAATCAGGATTTTTTTATATATGTAGGAGAATCGCTTTGGGATGTAAGAAGTCCTCAGGAATTTCAAAATTGAAATTTATTCTCAGATTGGATCTTAAACTATTCAAGAATAATTTAAACTACTAGTCAAGTGATCCAAAGACAAAACAAGAGTGCATGTTTTCAATGTTAGTTCAAGCGGAAGGTTATAGTGTCACCTTTTGAAACGATTTTTTTGTTTTCACTTTTCAGTGAATACGCAACTATGATGTCAATGGAGTTTGAACAAGTAATAATATTTTTACATTCTAACTGAAGGTTTGAAACAAAATTGATGGCTGATCACCAGTTTTAATCAAAGTTGCATTTCAAGAAATCCAACTTATAAGAGAAGCACGCTTCTTAAACTGATTGAAGCATCCTGGCCCTTGGATTTCAAGATCTCATCGTGCCATTGGATGAGTGTAGAATTACATCGACTTGTCTCATTTGAAGGCAATGACGAAATCGTAATTCTTCATCTTCCTCTGAAAAGGCGATGCTCTCTTTTTTTGTTAGATTTTTTATATAATCTAAAGTGTTTGAGGTAGATTTATGATCGTAGCTGAATCTATTTTATTATGGGTATCTAATGGAGATTAACCATTTCAGTGAACTCTGGTCACAATTCGATTGGAGTGAACATATCGTCTATTGATTTGTTCATTTACAATGTTTTCGTCAATTTAATATGTTAAACGACCATTTGTTGATTTGTTTATTTAAACTATTTTCATGTGTGCAATTGAATTTTTTAACGACTGATTTCCTCAATATTAGTATCAGACTTTGGGACTTGCTCAAGAGTTTGAGGGGTAGAAGATGTTCGATTTTGAGTGATCGTCAGTCAAACCCATACTTAGAAATTTATTATCCAGAGATTTTAAGATTTTTTTAGATTAATAAAATTATATATATGTGCCCGTTGGTGAAGTTTTCAATTTTTAATTTTTTATATGAATTTTTTTTAAAATAAAAGATATTTTACTTATAATTTAAAATTGAAATATTTACTTATAATCCAATTTTTAAGTTATAAGTAATTTTATCTTTTAAATAAATTTTTCACATAAGTAAACTTTTTACTTATATGTAATTTTTTTTATATTTTATAAGTAATTTTTTTGTCGTATTCTTAGTATTTTTACTTTATAAGAAATTTTTACACAAACGTGAATAAATTTTTTAATTATGAAGTTATTTTTTGCTTATAAATAAATTGTTTCGTTAATATATTTTTATTTAAAAGTTTGTTTTGAACAAAATAAATGGGATGGAAAAAAATTATTCTATAATTGGTAAAATTGGAAGAGAATTTGAGGAAAATCTATCAATTTGGAGGGCGGAGAAATACGATCTAAATTTTGCTACACCAATTCTGGATTTTTTTAAATCACCCAAAACCAACGCCCAAAATGCCTCTAAAATATAATGGCAAGGAATCACGAGCCAATTACCCATAGATGAGGCTCTACAGTCGACCTAAAAAAAATATAAGTTGGTTCCAAATAGGCTAATACTAGCGGTTCGCCTCGAAGATATATGATAAATTGGGGTTAGTTTGGGAAAAATAGTGGTGAAGGCTTAAGCCAACCTCAAAGAGATGAGGTTTTATGCCCACCCTCGATAACTATGACTACACCCCCATAATATGGACTAAATTAACCTGAAAAGGATCACGGTATTCCACTGTGCAAATATAGATAATTTGGAGACCATT